TGGAGCAGGTGGTCACATGACTAGTAGTAGCCAAAGCCAGAGAAGAGAGAGGTAACCCGGGTGAAGTGTGCCGTTACAGGAGGAATAATTTTTTTAATGGATCTGGACCGACCTGGCTGAATTGAAGCCCTGGTCACCGTCGTTGCTCGTTAGCGATCGAGCTGAGCCCATCAGCTCACGACACTTAAGAGTCGATTACATCGCAGGCGGCCACCTGGGTTTCCAAAACCCAGCCTCTTGCAGCTGTTCGGGCCCAACGCTCTGACCTCCAGGGCCACCCAGACATCTCAATAATAACAATTTCTAACAATAATAACCGTGACCGCAAGAGTCATTCTGTTTGCCAAGAGAAAGCCACAACTGAGTCCCGCGACGTTCACAGGAGAGTGTTTCTTAAGATGCTTGACCAATCTCTCGTTCGGTATTTGTGCACATGGTAAAATAAATAAAAAATAGTCAATCACCCACACGGGTTGGCGAGCAACATCCTACTTGCTCCACTAGCTAACGATCTATGAGGCCCAGTGTAATCCAGCTGTGTAATCCACCTGTGTGATCCACGAATGTAATTCACTTGTGTAATTCACCTGTGTGATCCACCTGTACAATCCCACCGGTGTAATCCACCTGTGTGATCCCATCCGCGTAATCCACCAGTGTAATCCACAGAGGGTATAGTTTCTCACAATATTTTTCTTAACCCGACCATTGCAATGGCTGGTTTGCAACCTGAATTACTGACGTAAGTCACCGCCTTCCACAACAGTCACGCATTATTGCACCACATACATTATATAATTGTCGTTCTATAATCCGCTGTAAGTTTCGTGACGACGAGACGGCTGTGGAGTTCCAAAAAAAAAAATCCCGGAGCCTCGTTCCAAGAAGGTTTCCCTCCGAGATCCAGCACCGAATGTACCACGCCGCTTATCGACGGTCCGTCCGTAACGTCACGAGGAATTTCCTGTGGGATTTTCCACGTTGACGAGATGTTAACAACCTCGCCTGGTATACAGGACGTCGTGGGTTCCATCCCGACCCTGACGTCTGCTGCTGTATATTCGGAGTTTGGATGTCTTTCTCTCTCTCTCCTCGTGGTCGCGTGGATTTTTCTCCGGGTCCTCCGGTTTTTCCATTCACATTTATAATGAACGTCACGCGCTTAGATAATTTGACTGCCATAAATATCCACATGATGATAAGCCACTTTGTTTAGCTATCATCTGTGATAGCCAGGTCGCTTCTGAAAAATAACTATATGGCTCAGTGGGGCCTTACCTGGTAAAAGAAAATATTTCACGTTTTTTATATAATTTATAGAACAAAAACGGGTTACGACGACTCGCGGAAACCGTCCGGCGTTTGGCCGCACGAGGAAAATCCGAGAACGGTGTCCCCCGCTAATAAACCGTGAGCTGGGCCGGTAGATTATTTCAAAATTGGCCGATGGCCCCGACGGGACACGTGCGCGCAATTCCTCGAATTTTTTTCTTTCTTTTTAGTTTATTTATTTATTTTCCACGAGAGAGCCTCCGATGCGGAGCGTCCATCGCCGGTGGGCGCACAAAGGCGAGCGGTAATGGAGGGGAGCTTCGCAGACGGCTATCGCGGACGGGACGTGGCCAAAATTGGATTGAAAATTGGCTAAAGCACGGCGACGAGCAAAGGGAGGTTATTAGAGGAGGAGGAGCCTCCTCCTCTCCTTCTCCTCCGCTGACTGACGGCCAGGCAGAGCGCTCCGTGCTCCGGCGGGGTCACGCGCTTGCTTCATTACACCGTCTCGTGTTTATTCATGGAAGGTGTAAGACGGGAGAGGGTTGAATTGATTTTTCTGGGTTTTTTTTACAACTGCGAGGCCATCTCTGAGAATAATGCAAAAGCAACGTCTTGCGTAGAGAGACGATCTCACGATTATTGCACTGGTGTCTATCGGTTTCTATGCGAGTCGCGGGTCTCTATGTGAGCCCATAGGTCTCTGTGTGAGTCTATTGGTCTCTATGTGAGGTTATCCATTTCTACTTGAGTTACGGGTCTCTATGTGAGTCCATGGGTCTTAGTGCGAGTCTAATGGTATCTATGTGAGTCCATGGGTCTCTGTGCGAGTCTGTTGGTCTCTATGTCAGTCTACCGGTCTTTATTTGAGTCTATGGGTCTATGTTTGAATCTCTTGGTCTCAATGTGAGTCTATCTGTCTCAATGTGTCTTTGGGTGTCTGTGTGAGCCTTTTGGTCTCCATGTGAGTTTATGGATCTCCGTACGACGCTATCGGTGTCTATGTGAGTCTACGAACATCTGCGTAAGATTATTGGCCTTTGTGATTATATGGGTCTCGGAGTCTATGGGTTCCAGTGAGGGCTTTAATTTCCCACAGTTTCAAATCACGGGCCATGCTGTAGTTCTCATCGCATATCGGAAGCTCAGCTCGGTTGAGCCTGGTTTCTGCCAGGATGGGAGACAGACTTTCACGCAAATTCCCAGCAGACGGGGAACACGTTCAAGAGATTGAGATACAAACGGCAACATGAACTGGATCATGAAAAGGCTTCATCACACATCAAGGTGCCTCAAGGAGAACCTCTATAAATTAGCACCTCATTGCTTGCTGTGACTCAGAGGTACACGGTTTCGAGATGTTAATCACCTTACCTGGTATAAAGGAGGTCGTGGGTTCGATCCCAACCGTGACGCCTGGTGTATATTTGGAGTTTGTGCGTTCTCCCCGTCATAGTGTGGATTTTCTCCCGGATGCCCCAGTTTTTTTTCCAAACACGTTTAGAATCGTCACGCCTTAAGATGATAAGCCACTTCCGTGAGCTATCATTTTTTGGCGGCCAGGTCGCTTTTGCAAAAGAGCTACGTATAGCTCAGTGGGCCTTGCCTTGTAAAATAAAATATGAATGCAGAAGACATTGGAAGGAAAGTTGATAAGGGCACGAAGGAAGCAGCGTGGAGACGTGGCCGTGATCGGAATGAGGCGGAGAGACGCGTGGATTAGCGGAGTCAAATGATGGGGGACGCTAAGCAGAGGAAGTCCACCACGGTGGTTCCTTTGTTGAGATAACTATCAGCCAAAGGAACAGGTCTTTACGTCTTGACTTAAAGCTTTCGTGACTGCAGGAATTCATATGCTTTGGGTCTTTCGGTAAAGTCACGTAGATAGGTTCAAATAAATAGCAAGTAAATAAATAAACACAACTACGACATTTCGATCGCAATACAAGCGGATGACGACCGCTTGTGTTGCGACGTGACTTTACCGAAAGACCCAAAGAATATAACAAGTTTCGATTTAAAGCTTTCGTGACTGCAGGCATTCATATGATTGGTTCTTTCGGTAAAGTCACGTAGAAGGAAAATAATAAAATAACAAATAATACAACAAAATATAATACAATTTTCACGACGTTTCGGCCACAAAGCAAGCAGCCGGAGACCCATGGACTTTTCATTATAAGTCTTTGCGTTGAGAATGCGGTGGAGCAAGACAAACGATAATGATCCCCCGTATAGCCTTTGACGGACTATTGGTGCAAGTGCTGTTCGCGATCACATGTTGATTTCGGAATGGCACGCGATCGGGTGAATGTGACCACAACCACGCCCGGCCGCCTTTGTCTTCCCAGGAATCGTGTTTTTTTTTTGGTTTGTTATACACACCGCTCATAATATTCATTTAAGCTTGTGTTGTCGGTCGCGTGTGGGGAATCAAACTCGGTCTGCAGGGGTTCGTAGCGCAGCCACCTAACCACTCTACCACCACTGCCCACGCCACTCTCTCTCTCTCTCTCTGTGAGCATGAGGGCCAGGTGCCGTGAGTGAGCGCAAATGCAAAGATCCCTCCGCAGAGCCTTTAGCGCTCTGTCGGGGCAAGTGATGTTTAGTGAGCAGCACCTGTGAAGGATGGCACGTCACACGAGGTTGTGGGCGGACAGCACCACGCCTGGCCGCCTTTGTCTCCCCAGTGCTGATGTATACACACCGCACCAGGTACTCATTTGAGGCTGAGTCGACCTCGGGGATGCCCACAAGGGGGTTTATATATTCTGGAACCGGTGTTGGGAATCGAAGCGCGCGCCAACAACTATGCCACCACTCCCTGCACAACTCTCTTTCTGAGAACAAAGACAAAGGTGAAGGCGCCCCGTATAGCCTACAATGGCTATTGCGGGGCAAGTGCTGTTAGCAAGCACAACAACCGCCATTCGCCACTTAGTGGCGGTGACGTCACCACGGCGCCTGTGCCAGGCTAGGTGCAGGTTAAGGCCATGTGATGTATCGAACGCCTGCTGGCAGGAGGTCATGGGACAGACCCAGGTGCCATGGGTCGACTGACTGAGATGACTGACCGACGCACCACCACCACCTGTGGCAAATCGCTGTGCTTTTGCCACCCGGCGCTCCGCTCGTTGGTGTGAGCGTCGCTCCTCTGCTCACACGCACACACAAAACAAAAATCCCCCGTCTAGCCTTAATAGGCCGTTGGGGCAAGTGCTGTGAGCGAGTAGCACCTATGAAGGCACGAGGGGGTGGGTGGCCTAAACCACGCCCGGTCCCCTTTGTCTCCCTAGTGGCGAGGTTTACACACCGCACCAGCATTGATATACGGTGCTTTTTTCTGTTCATGTTTTTGTTTTGTTGCGGTGGCACCCGATTCAAGAACCGAATGGCTCACAGGGCTATACCAAATAAATGAAACTGAAACCAGGCACCCATTGAGGCTGAGTCGACCTAGGGGAGGCTCAGAACCGGTTCAGATAATCGTCACACTGGTGTTGGCCGTGAGCGGAAATCGAACTCGGGCCTTCGGATTTGTAGCGCAGCGCGCTAACCGCTACACAACCGCTCCCCACACACGCAGACACGCACCAGGACACGCACAGACACACACACACACACACAGACACGCACAAGGACACGCACAGACACACACACAGACACACACACACAAGGACACACACACAGACACAGTGACACGCACAAGGACACGCACATCAACGATATTAAACTTTGGACACTCTTTAATCGCGGACAACGGCGAGCCAGCGTTCACAAAGGGTTATGGAGAAGGAGGCGCGCAGCCACAATAACAAGGAGAAACTTTCATTTCTTCAAATTTGGTAAAAAAAAAATACATCTATATAATAAATATTTCAAGAGCCGCAAAATGCACGCGAACAACGTCACGAAGCGGCCCTCAAAAGAGCCGCATGCTGCTCAGTAAACGCGGATGATTGTTGTTGTTGTTTGTTTGTTGAACCACCCCTGGGCTCCGAGGCTTCTTCCACCTTTAACCGGCCGGGATTGGCAGACGAACGCCGGCGGACTCGAGTTGAGAGCGAGAGAGGCAGGAGGGGAGGACGCGTGAAGAGGGAGACGCGTGGTGCGGGCGACACGTGGTGCGTGCGACACGTGGCGCGGGCGACACGTGGTCCGGGCGCGCTCCTTCTGACCGCCCTCGGGCGCTTCCCAACGCCGCGGTGGCGACGAAGGCGATGCCGCTGTGTGTTCGAATGTCGATTCGCGGTCATCGATGTTGTTCGCCAGCGGAGGCAGGTTCCAATGGACGTTACGGACGCCCCTGCACGGCATCAGTGTTATTTGTAGATGTTAAGTGGAGGAGTCGGGCAATGCGCGCGGATTAAAACGCTTGATATGCGGATGAAGTGAGATTTGTGAGCTCCCAAACGCGTGTTCGTCGACTGCGGTGTGTTTTTGCGTGTTGTGTCTGTCTGTGTGTGCGTATCTGTCGACTCAGCCTCAGATGAGTACCTGGTGCGATGTGTAAACATCGCTCCTAGGGAGAGAAAGGCGGCCGGGCGTGATGTTGGCCAGCCACCCCCTCGTGTGCCGTGCCTGCCTTTCTAGATGCTCGCTAACAGCACTTGCCCCAAAAGTCTGTTAAGGCTTCTTTGGTTATTTCGGTAAAGTCACGTAGAATGAGAATAAGATAATTAAATAAAATAACACAATAAAATTCTCACGACGTTTCGGCCACAACACAAGTGGCCTTCATCAGGTGAAGGGAGCAGACTGTCTCGAGGACAGCGCTGGAGTGAACACAGCCAAGCTCAGACCGCGACCTTTACGCTGTGTGAGAAGAAACAGAGCGCCTTGACAAAGGAATTAAGCATAAAAAATAGCATTTAATTGGCGGACTTAGCATGATGAACGGTGTAGAGGGGGTGAACATGTGCAGACCGGCGAGGGGGGGAGGGGGAGTTTACATATTGATGGTGTGAAAAGGGAATTTAAGCTGCTGCGAAAGTTTGGGATACCACTACTTGAAAAAATATACTGTACTATTGAAAATTAGTTTAATGTTTGGTTCGGATAATTTAGCATTGAAATAGCTGCGTGATTAGCTTGTGACTGGTCACAGAAATGGCTATGTTAAAGTCAAAGCCTACACATCCACAGAGGCACCTAGTACAAATCAAACAGGATAATTTAGCATTGAAATAGCTGAGTGATTAGCTTGTGACTATCAATAAACTCTATATATTCTCCAATCAGCTAAGCTACCAACAATAAGTCGTTATATATCACAATGCTATATGGCGAAAAAATGGGTGGATTCTTACCTTCAACTTTAGCATTGAGGTAGTTGATATTTTAGTTTTTATTGGTTTACTATATGGTATTCATTATATAGTGTAGTGTATACCCAGTTACTGTTAATAGCTCAGCTTATAGAAGAATATATTGAGTACATTTATTATATTGATGTAATTTAGACTTAGGTTTTTTTTCACATCGGTTTACTGTATGATACTCGAGTTGTTGAGTTGTTGCTGCCCCCTTTGGCGTCCATGTACTCGGTGCCTCTGTAGATGTGTAGGCTTTGACTTTAACATAGCTATTTCTATGACCAGTCACAAGCTAATCCCTGAGTTATTTCAATGCTAAATTCTCCTGTTTGATTTGTACTAGGTGCCTCTGTAGATGTGTAGGCTTTGACTTTAACATAGCTATTTCTATGACCAGTCACAAGCTAATCCCTGAGTTATTTCAATGCTAAATTATCCTGTTTGATTTGCACTAGGTGCCTCTGTAGATGTGTAGGCTTTGACTTTAACATAGCTATTTCTATGACCAGTCACAAGCTAGACCCTCTGTTATTTCAATGCTAAATTATCCTGTTTGATTTATACTAGGTGCCTCTGTGGATGTGTAGGCTTTGACTTTAACATAGCCATTTCTGTGACCAGTCACAAGCTAATAACTCAGCAATTTCAATGCTAAATTCTCCTGTTTGATTTGTACTAGGTGCCTCTGTGGATGTGTAGGCTTTGACTTTAACATAACTATTTCTACGACCAGTCACAAGCTAATCACTCAGCTATTTCAATGCTAAATTCTCCTGTTTGATTTGTACTAGGTGCCTCTGTGGATGTGTAGGCTTTGACTTTGATATAGCTACTTCTATGACCAGTCACAAGCTAATCCCTCAGTTATTTCAATGCTAAATTCTCCTGTTTGATTTGCACTAGGTGCCTCTGTGGATGTGTTGGCTTTGACTTTAACATAGCTATTTCTATGACCAGTCACAAGCTAATCACTCAGTTATTTCAATGCTAAATTCTCCTGTTTGATTTGTACTAGGTGCCTCTGTGGATGTGTAGGCTTTGACTTTAACATAGCCATTTCTGTGACCAGTCACAAGCTAATCACGCAGCTATTTCAATGCTAAACTATCCGAACGAAACATTATACTAATTTTCAAAGGTACAGTATATTTTTTTCAAGTAGTGGTATCCCAAACTTTCGCAACAGCTTAAATTCCCTTTTCACACCATCAACATGTAAACTCCCCCTCCCCCCCTCGCCGGTCTGCACATGTTCACCCCCTCTACACCGTTCATCATGCTAAGTCCGCCAATTAAATGCTATTTTTATGCTAATTCCTTTGTCAAGGCGCTCTGTTTCTTCTCACACAGCGTAAAGGTCGCGGTCTGAGCTTGGCTGTGTTCGCTCCAGCGCTGTCCTCCAGACAGTCTCGTCCCTTCACCTGATGAAGGCTACTTGTGTTGTGGCCGAAACGTCGTGAGAATTTTATTGTGTTATTTTATTTTATTATCTTATTCTCATTCTACGTGACTTTACCGAAAGAACCAAAGAAGATGAATCCTTGCAGTCACGAAAGCTTTAAATCGAAATCTGTTAAGGCTACACGGGGGATCTTTATCTTTGTGTATCTGTGGGGAGTGGTAGTTTAGCGGTGAGCGCGCTGCACCTGAGACCCAGCGAGCCGATTTCGATTCCCGCTCATGATTATCTGAACCGGTACTGGGCCTCTCCTAGGTTGACTCAGCCTCAAATTAGTACTTGGTGCGGTGTGTAAAAACATCGCCACTGGGGAGACAAAGGCGGTCGGGCATGATGTTGGTCACCCACCCTCTAGTAGATGCTCGCTAACAGCACTTGTCCAAACAGTATGTTAAGGCTATATGGGGGTACTTCGTCTTTGTGTGTTTGTGGGTAACGGTAGTGTAGCGGTTAGTGCGCGGCGCTACGAAGCCGGAGACACAAATTCAATTCCCAATCACGGCATACACTAGTGATGGGTTATCTGATCCGGTCCTGGGCCTCCCCTAGGTCGACTCGGCCTCGAATGAGTACCTGGTGCGGTGTGTAAACATCGCCACTGGGGAGACAAAGGCGGCCGGGCGTAGTGCTAGCCACTCACCCCATCTTGTACCGTGCCGGCCTCCATAGGTGCTACTGGCGAACAGCACTTGCTCCTTCAGTCTGTTTAGTCGACACGTGGGGTATGTTCGTCTTAGCACACAAACACACATGTAAAATCTCCATATATATAAAGGGCAAAGTTGTGAATATGTGTGTCTGTTCAAAATGTTTAGCGTACTTCCCGACATACAACACACTGGAAATTTTGGGGGGGGGGAGCTCAATAATGAAGATTATTTTTTTGCACGGCAAGTGAGCTGTGACGTCAAATCTGTCACGTGACCCGCGCGTGTGGAAGCGTAACGCAGTGTAGTGTAGTGCTTAGCGCGCTGCGCTACGAACCTGGCGACCCGAGTTCGATTCCCGCTCACGGCCACCACCGGTGACGATTATTTTAACCGCTTCTGGGCCTCCCCTAGGTCGACTTAGCCTCAAACGCGTAACTGGTGTGGTGTGTGAACATCGCCATTGGGGAGACAAAGGCGGCCGGGCGTGGTGAATCCAAGTCCCGGGCGAAACCGGGTAGTTAAGCTAGTATGTCTATATATGCCACACCTGTGTTCGTGTCTGTGTGTGTGTCTGTGTGTGTACGGTAGTAGCGGTTAGCGCGCTGCGCTATGAACCTGGCGACCCGGGTTCGATTCCCGCTCACGGCCAATACCAGTGACGATTATCTGAACCGGTCCTGGGCATCCCCTAGGTCGACTCAGCCTCAAATGAGCACCTGGTGCGGTGGATAAAAACATTGCCACTGGGGAGACTAAGGCTGTCTGTCGGGCGTGGTGCTGGCCACCCACCCCTTCGTGTACCTTTCCGGCCTTCATAGGTGCTCGCTAACAGCACTTGCCCCTACAGTCCGTTCAGGCTATATGGGAGATCTTTATCTTTGTACGGTAGTGCAACGGTTAGGGCGCTGCCCTACGAACCCCGACCACCCGAGTTCGATTCGCGCGCATGGCCAACACTAGTGACGATTATCTGAACCGGCCATAGGCTTCCCCTAGGTCGACTCAGCCTCGAATGAGTACCTGGTGTGGCGTCTAACCACTTGGGGAGACAAAGGCGGCCGGGCGTGGTGTTGACCACCCATCCCCTTCGTGTGCCGTTTCCGGCCTTCATCGGCGCTACTCGCAAGCAGCACTTGCCCCAACAATCTGTTACAGGCTATACGGGGGATCTTTGTCTTTGTGTGCGTGTGTGTGTGTGTGCGTGTGTGTGCGTGTGTACATTCGGAGCGGTGTCCCCCAACAGCAGCACCTCGACTTGCTATGCGATGAGGAATGTGCAGTGAGAGAGGTCACTAGACCGTGACATTTCTTGTGAAATGCCTATTCCGTGGAGGGTTACTGGATGCGTTCGCGCGTTCTCCCTCGGACTTGAAGTGTGATGTGCACCCTTGCAATGAGAATGCTCTCGAAGTGCTTCTGCATCGTTCTCTGCCCCCCCCGCCCCCCCCCCCCCATTGAAACGACCGCGATAAGCAACGCGCCCAAAGTGTTCATGGACTGCCATCGGTGCCTCTTGAAATTTACCCAACAGCTAAAGCCACGAGGTGGAATTTACTCCGCGGAGGGAGGTGCGTGTGGTGTGGGAACAGGAGTGCGAGAAACGCGCGCGCAGGGGAGCAAAAGCAAAAACGGTGAGAAGGGAGCCAGCTGCTTTCTCTCTCTCTCTCTGGTAATATATAAATACACGAATCCTAGGAAGGCAAAGGCGGCCGGGCGTGGTTCTGGTCACATTCACCCGTTCGCGTACAATTCGGACCTCGATCACTCACAGCGGTTGCCCCCAACAGCTCGTTGAAGGTGGTGACACGGAGGATCTGTACCGTTTGTCTGGCTCCACCGCGTTCTCAATGTAAACAATTGTTCCTCCCTTGCGCTGAAAATTATCTCAACAAAACAACCACCGTGGTGGACTTCCATCCGTTGACTCTCGTTCCGTCGTTGGTCTCGACCACATCCGTTGCCGCGACGCGCCCTGCCGATATGACGCCGATTGGATTTGTTTTCGCGAATCCACGCGACTCTCTCCATCTCTCTCGGCGTCATGACGAGCATGGCCACGTCTCCACGCTTCTTTCACTTTTCAACGTCGCTTCCAATGTCTTCTCAAGTGTCCGTGTTTCTAAGCTGTAAACTAAACTATTTTATATATATATATATATTTTTTTATTTTACCAGGTAAGGCCCACTGAGTTTTCCAGCTCTGTTCAAGAAGCGACCTCGCTATCACAAATGATCGCTCAACAAAGTGGCTTATCACGCGGACATTTATAGCAGCCTGTTACTCTGTCGGCGTGTTTCTTAATGTGGAGGGAAAACCCGGAGGAGCCGGAGAAAAATCTACGCGACCACGGGGGAGAGAAACACCGCAAACTCCAAATATACAGCAGGCGTCAGGGTCAGGATTGAACCCACGACCTCCTGCGTACCGGGCGAGGTATTTAACATTTAGCCACCGTGGCGCCCCTAAGTCGATCTTGTGGTAAGTGCATTAACCGCACCGATAGTTGAGTTCCAAAAGGAAATGTGTTCATCTCGACACACGATAATGATAATTCTCATCGTACAAGGTCAATGTTTTCACCGAAGCCTTTCACCACCCGACAGAGTCAATCAAGTTGTCACGTGGGGGAGGCAAAATGATTTTGTTTCTCAGATTACAAAAAAAAAACCGGAGCAATGTTGTAAAGCAAGCAAAATATGTGTTATACCTTTTTCGCATGAGGACGACCGCTTGTGTTGCGATCGAAACGTCGCTATATATTATTTTTTGTTCATATTTTCTTTTCTTTTTCTACCTACGTGACTTTACCGAAAGAACCAAAGAGTATCTATACTCTTTGGTATAGATACGCCATCCAGACTTCCACCCTCAGACCTTCCCTGTGGAAGAGATATGTGGATGACACTTTCGTCATTTGGCCACATGGCCTCCCAGCTCTGAACCTTTTCCTACACCACATCAATTCCAGACATCCCGCCATCAAATTCACCATGGAAGTGGAGTAAGATGGCAAGCTACCATTCTTAGATGTTCTGTTTGAGAGGAGACCTGATGGCTCATTGGGGCATTCTGTCTACAGGAAACCCACCCACACAGATTCCTACTTGAAACCTGATTCCCACCACCACCCAGCCCAAAAGAATTCTCTCATCAAAACTTTATACCATAGGGCTCATTGCATTTCGGACCAACACCACCTGACCAGTGAATTAAAACATGTACACCTGGCTCTCAAAAGGAATGGATACTCTGACCGTACCATCCGCCAAGCTGTTTCTCCCTCCATACAGAAACAACCACTTGATACTCCAGTCAAAACCATCACACTACCATATATAGCAGGCGTTACTAAAACGATTTCCAAAATTCTAAACAAACACAAGATCCAGGTCCGGTTCAATACAGTACACAAAATTCGTGATCTGATCCCATCCGTGAAGGATGTCATTCCTGACTTACAGTATCCCGGGGTTTACAAATTGAGTTGTACCTGCGGTGATTGTTATATCGGGGAGACAAAGCGACATGTCTCTGACCGAATTCGCGAGCACAAATCAGATTTGAAACACGGCAAAACGAATTCTTCTGCCGTAGCTGATCATTGTTACAACGCTGTGGGTGATCACGATGTAACTTTCTCCGATACCAAGGTTCTTTGCAAACCCACGGGTTTTTATCAGAGATTTGTTCACGAGGCAATCCAGATCTACAAACACAGACACAATTTCAACCGAGAAGATGGCTTCGAATTAAGCAACCATTGGAAAGATGTTCTAAATCGAACCAAACGTTAAAGGATTTTTTAATGGTACAGTATGTTCATTCAATTAGTGGCATCCCAAACTCTCACGGTGGTGCTAATGTATTTTTGATGCTATTTGCGAGCTTGCACAGCTTTACATTTTATGCTAATTCCTTTGTCAAGGCGTTTTTTTCTGTTTACCCACTCACAGCTTAAAGGAGGCGACCTGCGCTGGACTTTTTTCACTCCAACGCTGTCCTCCGGACAGGTTGGTCCCTTCACCTGATGAAGGCCACTTGTGTTGTGGTCGAAACGTCGTGATTTTTGTTATTTTATTTTTTTACCTACGTGACTTTACCCAATAGAACCAAAGAGTATGGATCCTTGCAGTCACGAAAGCTTTAAATCTAGAATTCAAAGAGTATCTGTTATACATATTTTATACACATTTGAATTCCTGCAGTCACGAAAGCTTTAAGTCAAGATGTGTTAGACAATTGTAAATATATATGATTGCCATTGTATACGCAATTTAACCTCAAGAGAAACGAATTATGAATCATAATAGTGGTAGTGCACAATTTGAGTATACTGGAGCAAATATATATTCTTTAGAGAAATGTAAAATTAGGAATGATAATTCGGTTTGATTTTCAGCGTCGTTGTTCGTGTAAATTGCATCTCGTGATCGATGAGGAACCACAGACGGGAGCTTGAAGGTCGAGGCCAGCCAGTGAGCCGACACGACCAACAATTGCCCAAGCTCTGAAGTCCTCTAGATATTATTAACTATTTCTTTTTTTATTTTACCAGGTAACGCCCACTGAGCCATATAGCTATATTTCAGAAGCGACCGGGCAATCACAGATGATAGCTCAACGAAGTGGCTTATCATCGTGTGGGCATGTATAGCAGCCAAATACTCCAAACGCGTGATGTTGATTCTGAATGTGGAGGGAAAAACCGGAGGACCCTGAGAGAGACACCGCCAACTCAGAATACACAGCAGGCGTCAGTGTCGAAGATGCGTGCTGCCAAGGATGTGTTCAGCCATTACTTCTGGGAGGAAACCAATACCCATACGCGCGAAGTGCACAGCGCTCCATCCCGTTCAAAAGGGGACGAACGGGGATTAGTCCACACCTCGCTGGAGCGCATTCCCCACTGCTATTCAGTGGCCTAAAATATGGCTCTAGATTTTGGTGTTATAATTTGTTTATGGAGTTTATTGTTAAAAATTCGGTCACAGTCCCTATGATCACTGTTTGATTGCATTTATGGCTTTTATTTTGGTGATTTCGAAAACGTTGTTTTTTGTTTTGGCCATGTTTTTGTTTATTGTATACGGAGTTAGACT